TCTTAGATCTTCGACTGAACTCACACTGACTTGTTTAACTGAGTGATTCCCTCACTCAAACTAGTGCACGTAACATAAATTCCCTAAATTAAGTTGGTCCGCTTGACGTGGCATGAAAAACAGATAAAAGCTCATAACTTGTTGACTGGTATTTTGCCCTGTTTATCAATACCTGCATGGGTGGTACTGTGAGCCGGAGTAAAATGTGTTGCCTACGAACATGACACAATGACTCCTTGCAGGGCTCATACTCAGAATGCTTGATCCAGACTCCAGCGAATTCAAAACCATGAAATCACTGCACACACATTTAATATAAAAGAAAATCATTATAATTACCATTATATTATCAGTAAAATCAGAACTTCTCTGCAATGTCTTGGCGACGTATCAATGGATGCAGTAACGCATCATACAAAGCTTGGTAGGTCGCTGAAAATACCTTGGCTTTGTTTCCAATACTTTAACAAGCGGTATCCCTTTTCCGATATTTGATCAGAAGCTAGATCTATTTCTCGACGTTTTGCATCTGAGACATCTAGGCAACGCCCAAGCATTCTCCATTGGTTTCCAATATGATCAGCCACTTTCTCCAATTCATCATTTGTAGGTGTGCCAGCTTTCACTACAAAGAGATATAACTCATTACAAATAAATTGTTATTGTCGGTCGTTTTCGCTCACAATTTTTTGGATTTCGAGAGACCAATTACTCCGATTTGCCTCTAGATACCAATTTTAACTGAACTGGATATTGATAACAGTACAAAATACTATAAGAAAAAGGTTTTTCTGTGGAAATAAACTCAGTGCCACACTTTTGAAAAACGACTCAATGAAAATGGCTAAAATTTGGGTCACGCTCATTAACGATTCGGCAGCGATATTTGGCACCTCGTGAAAACCGCAGAATTAAAGCAAAAGACCTCAAATATATCTCAATCAACTAATAAAAGGACAAATATTATCGCACGACAATAAGATTTTCTGGAATTTGTACGAAGTATCTTTTATGCTCACCTAAAGTTGACCGAAATTTCGGCCATTTTAGACCCCTAGAGAGGCCAAAATCATGATGTGGTGATATCTCGAAGAAAAACGAACGCCTACCTCGGCAAATGTCATGGTTGTTAATCTTTTCAGATAGCTTTTATATTGTGAAAAGGTGAAGGTAAACGGCCGACTTCGATCTTTTGGTACTGCCCGGTTTTCTCTGACAATGACACTTAACTGAAATATTTTAAGGCCGCTAATTTTCAGCCTCAGCTCAGGAAAATATTGCGCAGATTTTCACTATTGTTGTTTGTTGTCGTCATTATAATTTTCTTTTGTTTTGAATCACCATGTTGTTGTGAATTTCTGTATATTATGAATTCATAAAACGCGCGATCATTTTTCGGCAATTTTCCCGAAGCATTCTAGTATATATATCTATATCTATTAAATATATGTCACACTTTCACTCATTTTGCGTTAACGCATTACGCCTAGGGTAATCACTATCTGGATTGTCTTTTTTATGTTTAGCATAAACATAAACAGCACATATATTTTATTGTTTTTGTAATGCTAGCTTGGGATATTTTAGCATGCTTCGGAAAATCGCCGGAAAGCAATCGCACGTTTTATGAATTCATGATATTCAGAAATGTACAATAGCATGGTGATTTACGACAAAAGAAAATTATAATGAAGACAACATGAGTGAAAATCAGCGCAATGTTTTCCTGAGTTGAGGCTGAAAATTAGCGGCCTTAAAATGTTTCAATTAATTTTAAACTCTGGGATTACGTTTAATAATCTCACTGAGGGTCAAGTGTGAAAAAAATTAATCGAGTGTTTTTTTAATTCCCGTCCAATTTAATAATTTTAGGGGCAATTTTTGGGTAAAAAGCAAAATAACACCCCACACCAGTTGATATTCAAGCCAATGTTTCTGAAAGTCAAACGGAGCAATTTTCACTTCAGGTAATTAGATGTTATAAGATTCATTTAAGACCAGAATACCATTTAGTCAAGTCTTGTGGACATAGTTTGCAATAACATTTTAAAACAGCTCCGTTTTTGTTGTATCTTGACACCTCAAAACTTCACTCGCAATTTTCTCGAAAAAGCTCTCATAGATTTTTTAAAAATTTTGTCATAGTTATGACAACTGTGTCAAGTCCGAGATCCCGACGTCATATTTCGAAAATATGTAAAATGAGGTATGGCATCATTTCGTTGCTATGGTAACTCAGATCCTGGTGAAATGTACCCCATTTTAAATTTTCATCTTTCTCTAGTACTCCAGTAACGTTTGAATTTCTGTCAGATTGTTTATGGTGCTGCTGTAGTGGCTCTACGTTGAACAGTGTCGTTACTCAAAAATCCGATAGAGCCACCTTAAGGTTGCAGTATGTAAAAAGCAGGCAAGCTTTTAGTTTGCGGCATACGTCTCTACGACATGCAGTTCGAGGCCAACAAAATTTCTTCTTCGAGATATCTTCTCACTGAAATCCTAAAAGGGGTGTTGAACTTTTGAAATCTCCATCTAAAAAAACTTGCCCCGCGGAAATTTGATGTTCTTAAAGCAAATATTCTCCAGAGAAGCGAAGCTTCGAGGGCAAATATGCTAGTTTTAAGAACATCAAATATCCAAGGGGCAACTATCAGACCGATAGT